TTGTAGTAGATGTGCAGGGGCGCACTCATCAGGCTTTGATACAATGATGATATAATTTCAGTTGACATCTTGTGGCCCTCGGTGACGGCGTTACCGAAGAGGCCGAATGCAAGTCCCAACATTCCTAAGACAGGCCGTTTAGGATGTTTGTTACCCCCAGACCGTTCTTCTTTGTCAGTTAAACTAATTTCCGAAGCATCGCGCAAAATGTTAGATGCTCTCTTTTGTATATCGGATGGGTAGCAGGGTCTGTGAAGATGGGAAGTCAGCTTGGTTCCAGACGAATTGACAAGTGGCAAGTCATGCATCATACCTCATTAGCTCAACACTCTCCTGGATCATAATGCCAAAGACCTGTGGAGACGGGTAGCTACGCCGACATAGATTCAACTTCCGTCTGTACATTGCCAGTTTGTATGTCATCATGAGAACTTTGGCGCCATAGAGAAGTCTTATGCCAACTCGTTCCAAAGCGACCCCGCAGAAATACCCTGGCCCGATTAAAATCTCATCATTGCTGTATGTGTCCGTTGCTCCGCAGTCAACAGGTACTATCTCGTTACAATCGAAGCTCTTGGAAGGAATAAGAACGTCTGGAGGATTGAGACATGACGCTTCTCCCCGGCACTGGAAAAAGGGTAGCAGCTCAGATGGTTTCTTAGAGTATTAATTAATAAGGCACCCACAATCTCCTCTACCCATTGGGATATCTTTCCCTCCGAGAGTGGAATATGATCCATCCCTCGCAAACAAAAATTATGGCCAGGTTCCTCACAAGCCCACTTGTCTCGCAGGATCTCACGGAAGTGCTTCCTAAGGTATGATTGATGGCTCTGCTCGAGACTTGAGGCTACACCTGGTGAAATCAAGTCTTCCACATCATTATCCCGAGCGATAACTGACATGAGATAGTAGTTTCAAACAGGGCATTGCAAGAGAACTAACTCCCTTTTATTGTCACTCGTTGGACGTTCGCATAGCCCAAAGGCACGGCACTTTTAGCGCTGGTCGGATGAACCATCACAGCAACCTTGACAAGAAAGCTGTCCACGTGGCTGGTATGCCTGTACTCCTATTTCCTGAGAATACAGTAAATGCGATGAGGGTATATGCGAGCATATATAATAAATAATTAGTAATTATTCCCGACAACTCCATCATATTCTAGTATGACAAGTCAGCCATCCGGAAATATTAGCAATTGGTTGAAGCTTATTATAAAAGCCCGCTGATACCTTGGATAGCGATACATTTTTTTATATTATATTTTCATTTGGCTACAAGCATACGGTGATGATTTTCCTTTTGAATTTTATTTATCTGATCTACACACATCAAATTTCGATGATCGACTGGTCTCCGCCTTTTTGGGGACACACCGATATTATCAAATTTAAAACTTTCAGAGGTTGCTAGCATACAGAAAAACCATCGATTCACATAAGGAGCTTAGGTGATGGATTTCCACCGACACGCGTCATCAACCTTGAGCAATTCGTAATCGTGACGTATCCCTCTAACGTCATACTTCACCTTCGAGTCAATTTGGCATCGTCAAACTTCGTGCTTCCACAACCCCTGTTATGACCAATAACACGGTGTGGTAAAAATAAGTACCATTTGTCTTCTTGAATTTTTTGTCTCCTCTTCTCTCGTTCCACTTCCCAATTTTGACTTGGCAGTATTTTGTTGACCTCTACACCTCTCTTCCATCCAATACATGTTGTCTGTCAGCGAGTCTTCTAAACTACACGGCGGATTTTTGAGGCAGAGCAAGTAAAATTTCCTTTAATACCTTGTTATACTATTTGCCACGGTTTATGTGAATACATCATACATTTGAAAATATAGCGTAGCATCAAATATACCATGTGCTAACACAGTTTGACGTGGGAACGCAAAATCGGCGTCCGAGAAACATAAACACATGATGGTTGACCTGGAAAACAACACAAAAAAGAAATTAAGCATACGCATGGATGCCCATGGGTTAAACCAACCTGGAGCACTTTGACGAACACTCAACACTAAGCCACATACATAAATCACCTTGTTATGAAACACCTATTTCCAAACGTCATATGTTGATTTACCTGTCACGCATGTTAAGTTTTCGTGGTGTTGTTCTTAGACCGTATAACTTTCCGTTTGTCTGAGTAGGTGACAGTTAACTCGTTGTAAACGGATGAGTACTACTATACATGACTCATCCTTATATAGCTTAGTAACCCGCTTACTAATACCCCTGTATGGTTTGAGTCCTTGTCGCTCGTTTACCAAATTCCCAAAAGTTAACAACGCAGTTTATCCTTTGGATCAGGCAGGGACATCTTCCCTTCTAATAGCGTATTAAGTGGATTTTACAAAGCTACATTCAGGAAAGTACATGTGTCATGTTACATATTTGTCGGAATTGTCATCAATTTTGTCATTGCTTGACATCAGTGTTGCCGCAGCTCGGCCTTGGCTCGTAGCCAGTTTCTGCCGATCAGCTTTCGGGGGCCACAGAGTCCTACTGGTCACTCTTTAGAGTCATGGCTCGCATTTCTGTAAATGTCCCTCGTTTCTGGTCCAAATACACGCTGTGAAACCAAATGGGTGAACCAAAGACAAAACAATGGGGTATAAAATCCCCAGGATTTGAGGGCGAAGGTGAAGGTGAAGGGTCTTACCGCCCCTCAGCAATGCATCGACAACTCCACCGCCAATAGCTCGAGATGAGCAACGGGGAAGCGAGTGTAATTACTGAGGACATTTGTAAGGACTCGCCTCAGTCGCGGCTCTAAGGTAGCAGGAAAAACGACTGGGGCACTTGCAACAGAGTTTAATAAGTTTGTAAATATGGGCACAAGTGGTGCTCGCACCACGAGGCTGTGCCGACCAACTCAGTAGCGATGAGTCATGGACTTGTGATTATGCAAGATGAACCTTCGATGTGAGCGCTCAAATTGACAGTTGGAGAAGCGCTTGATCAAAATTAAAAGGCGATGGAATTGCAGTGGGACTTTAGCCATTTCGTTTGTATTCAGCTACATGCTATTGAGAAGCAGATTCAAGCGTTCTCCGACCACACATCGCCGTACTGTAAAGCAAGCGATGGCTTCTAGTGCCTGTTGGGTTGCCGAGGATATAGTCGGATATCATATAAAAGTAACTAACTAACTTTTTTCTTTGGCAAATTCGTAGTTCACTGTTGTCTTCCAGTTTGTTTCTCGACCCATACCTTCTTGTCGTCTTTGAAGGAAGATCTCCATGCATTCATCAACAAGCTCCAACAAAACGAGTTCTGTGGCGCCAGCATCGCCCGTTCATTTGCCATTCACATCTCCGCTCACGGATCATCTTAAAAGAATACAACAGTTGTATCCCAATGTAGGAAGGCAGGCAATATTAAAAGCATGGCAAGAGCAAAATCGTATGTCAGTATCTTAACTGGTGTCTATATGTTTATACCCGTCACAGCAAGCTTGAGGCGGTTGACCCTTCTGGAGCTACAAGACGCCACCTCAGAAGGTATAATTCCCCATACGCACGAGACCGTCATAGCGACCGCAATATGGGGGCATCCCATGAAAATGTTAACAAGCGTAGAGATAATATACGCAATCTCAATGCGCTACCCCCAGCTGCACTCCGATGACTTACAATGGCAGGCAAGTGACGTTGATATTCCGCATAGGAAGGTCATGTTACTCACTTTTATTGAATGAACGCCCCAACATCATTAGAGCACAGTGAGGCATTTTTTGGGGAAATGTAAAGTCTTCGAATTTGAGCGCATCCCTGAGCATAAAATGCAGCCTGGTGACAGAGTAAATTTTTACTTTCTTGCCAATTGTCGCTTTACTATCCTTACTAATATGCCATCATGGAGTCTCAATACTGGTGGAAACTTGCAAAAAACGAAATTCCCGATATCAGAGCTAGTACTCATGGATTTGCAGGAGGCGGCGATATTAGCCAATATTACCTCACCACATCCCCAACGCCAAACCCTCTCCATGAGATCGCTCCATCTTCCACCCCTGTCCGGCTCACAGCCTCCGAATATGTTGTGCGGTCTATGTTTATCACTGGGCGAGAGGAGGACACACTCCCTCCAATCATGTGGCCCCATCCGTCGGCCTTCCGGCCTTTTACGCGGCTCCCCTCTTTGACAGCTGTACTTGGAGATATGCTGCGGCAGGGTGAAGACTTTATGGTGGATGCCGTCAGTCCTCGCAAGCAACTAGACACTAATGCGTCCTGGGCGCGCCTTTATGATCGGGCACAAACGCGGGACGACTTGTCGAATACTGCGAGGATTTAGGTATGTCCATCCATACTATTCTATTGAGGTTCGATGACACCGAGAAACACTTAGGGGTACAGACACTGCTTTTATACGTGACGTTGCCGCACCCATTTCCATGGATACTTTCGTATGGCCCTTCTTTCTTCTTTTTTTTGTTATTTTTAGTACAAAAGGAGTCTCCCAATATACATAACGGCGTTGTTATATCCCGGTTGTATCGATCAAACATTGTGGTAGGACATATTGCTTGTGAAAGTTCTGCGAGTACCTAAGCTCTGATGACCTCTAGAAGAATGCTTATTGATCATGGATGTTTGGATAATGCATATCATATATAATACACATATAAGTGATCATCGCCGATTACGAACGTGAACTTCTCAATAACGGAGATTTCCCACCCGATGACTTACTCTATATTGCAAGACAAGACCTAATGCAATCTTGCTCACGGCTGAACATCGCAATTATTTCCAAATCATAATGCATGCACGAAAATCTTCGTGAATCTCCCGATTGAGAAGCATCCTTTGTAATCTCTTTGGTTATTACTAGTAGCACCAAATCGATGGTGGCTTCTTTCCACTACAGGTTTATTGAGCTTCAAAGTAACACAGGTGCACCCTATATAGACGGAGCTTCCACGCCTCGATATCAACATGGATACATTATTTCCCAAGTGTATATTAAAGGTATAGAAAAGTATTGACCCAGCCTGGGGTCAAACCAAGGTCTCCTGGCTATATATGCCAGTACTCTGCCACCTGAGCTACCGGTCCTTATTTGGTTATATTCCTTATAGGATATATACTCATGGATTCTACATGTCACAATTGACTGATGTCAACTTGGGGTACTTAGAACAGTTACATATATGTTGTGCTGTAGCTACTAGATATTGTATTTCTAACATTTATATCTCATCATAGATCTGGCAGATATTGTATTGGTATTCAACGAGAGGGCCATATTTAGCATATCTGCCACATCTTGACATAATCGCTAATACAAGTGCTACCAACCTTCCCCCTTTTTTCGACTGTCCCGTGGCATGTGTAAAGTTACGTTAACCATCTTTTGGCACCTCCTCCTTGCGAACTCGTTTATACAGGACCAACTGGGTCGATGTACCTCTCCTGCACACCCAGCAATGTGCCCGCCCTGCCTGGGAAATGGATCACTCGAGAGTAAGCTGTAGATATATCAGGAGAAAATGATATAAAACACTCATTAAATGTAAATACCATGTGAAAGGACATTTACGATACCATAATCAGATGCCAAAGTCTCCCACTGCACTCCTATGGGCACCAGACATCCATCCACTCTTACATAACTCCCCCACTCTAAAAGTGCATCAACAGTGTCTTGACAACACAAATAGTATTTCTGCATAGTAAGAGTTTGCAGCATGCCAAGAACATCTTCAGGAGTATGGAGAAGGGGAAAATGATACTGAAAACTAGTAGAGGGTAATCTAAGTCGATTTTCACACTGAAGAACTGTAGCATACATGAAGAAGATTTATACTATGATGAGACAGATGACTGGAGGGCTGATCAAGGGAGTGAAAGGTGAAGTGGATCATCAGAAGTCAATGACAAGGTAGGGAGACTAATGTAATATACTAAACAGTATTAAAGGGGTCTGAGGCAAGTGAGATGTGTAAAGGGGAGATGGTGATGGGAGAGCAAACAGGATGGGGATGGAATGGAAAACTAAAAAGGTTAACTACTATAGTGAAACAAGTGTCAGGGGCACTGCAAGTGATAATGCTTAGGGCAGGGGTTCTGACAGTGAGTCAATGGTGGGTTTTGGGCCTAAAACAGGTCATGGGGGTTCAAAATGATGGGATCCTAACAGGTGGTTGAAGAGAAATGTGGAGGATTGGTAAAGCTGTGTATGGTTTGCATAGAACATGGAAACAAATACTGTTAGCAGCTCAATCTTGAAGGAATGCAAGTTTACTTACCATTCCTGAAAGTTCCAAGCACTGACCACCCTCAATGATGAGGTGCCCTCCTTGTCATGTCCATCTTTGTATCTGACCTGCTTTACACTGGCTACAATGTCTTTCAGGCTAAAACTCAGGATGAGCAAGAAATCAGGGTTGAAAGTGTTAGCAGTAGCTCAATTTCTCTGTTCATCACTCAATATACCCACAACAATTGTTGCACACCTAAGACAATGCTTCAGACTCATGTTGGCATGTCAATGAACATAAACATGAAGCAGCCTCAAGATTGCCCTGAGCCAAAGGAAAGATGTAAAATTGAGCTAAAAGAAATCTCCCACACTCTGTTAAGGACATGCATGGAGCTTCTTGGAGGGTCTCCAGAGAAACTGCAGGAAAGCTGGTAGGACTTGGCTTCAGCTTATAGGCTGTGCCCTCACAAGATCATGTTGTCCAATTTCAGATGGGCGGATGGGAATCCTGGGGAGTCTGGGAGCAGTTGGTGGGTTGAGGGGTCAGGTGAGTCGACTGTGGGAACCCCACAGAAGTCAAGGGGTCGGGCAGAGATGAGTCAGAGGTTGAGTATTAGATAGGTCAGAGCCTGTGGGCCCCAATGAGGTAAATATCAGTGTGTTTCAAAGAGGAGATTAGAGTGGAAAATGTACTGAGATTACTGGGGAGAATCTAAGCTGATTTTCTGACTGGATTGTATGTACAACATCTGCCAGACTATATAGACTGTGGAATGTATGTCATACCAAATCCAGTAATAATGAAATCCAAACTAGTAAACATGAAACGAGATAAGTAAACACCAAATTTGGTGTTAGGAATGGGATGGGAATGGGATGGAGTGGAGCAGAGTCCAAATCGTGACAGGTCATTAGACCATAATGGGAACAGGGTGGGAGCAGAGTCCAAAACATAACAGGTCATTTGACCATAATGGGAATGGGGCTTAGTTAGAGAGCTGTCGGGTTTTCCGAACTCCCTCAGAGCTTCATTCATTATGGGTAATAAAAGGTCAGTCTCTGCAAAACAAAAAGCAGGGAAGAAAACCTCACTTGCAGATGAGGGAAAAGGTATGTCTCTGACCTCTGTAGAGCATTGCTGTTAATATTCAGCATCTACAGATGCTGGCATGAAAACCAGGTCATGCTCAGACACTGCACATAGACATGTCACTTGTGCACATCTACTCTCTAACACTAACCTGGATGACAATGCACCTTAAGATAATGGAGGATGGTCACAATTTCTTCAATATCCAAACTTTTACTGAAAACCCCTTATACTTTTAAGTGTAACTATTCCTTCTGACTATGAAGACATATTCTATGAGTTTATATTTCATTACCCCAAAATTTCATCTTTAAGACTTGTATGCTTTTTTAAAATATGCACAAATATCATGGTTAAACAAGATCATCTGGGCTGATATCTAATGTTTGGGATAAAATGCATTCTCTAGTATCTCTGTGACTTTTAAAATATCCACAAATGTCACGGTTAAACAAGATTATTTAGGTTATAACTTGATCTTTGGGATAAGATGCATTCTCTTTTACATATATATATGAACTTTCAAATATAGTTCATATAATTTAAATTTATTTGATTTAGAAACTTAACCAGAACTATCTGGCTTACCAATCCATGTTGGGGAATTCATCCCCAAAAGGATAATGTACATATTATTTTTTGACTAACTATTGTCAGATACAAGATAAATATAAATATTTCCTTATTCTCCAGAGTGTCACCTGATGGACTGAATTTGATGAAATATTAATTCTACAGCAAACAATATAAATATATAATGTATACTTGAGTGGATAAATAACTTTTAAAGTTTTTGGTTATCTGCCAATCCAAAAGATGCTGTTGATGACTATAGACCAAGTAGACACTAGCAACAGTGTCAATTTTGAAGACATTGTGATGGTTAGTGCTGATAGTGAGAAAGATGATGACAACAGCACCATCATGGAGGAACAGAAGCTGAGGAGGAGGGCAAAGAATAAGGGAAGGCCTCCCAAAGCAGCTGCAAAGGCACAACTAACATTGTCAGACAATCACCAAAGTATGTACTTTGATCATCTGCCACCTATACCCCTGACTTTTTGACATTAGCTTTAGCTGTCTTCATTCCACTTGGATTTTCAAATGGGCAAAGCAGACTTACTATTCCATTTGGTCCCACCTTTTCTGAAGCACTGCACAATATACATAAGTTTATGGGATGCCATAACTTTGCTAGGAAGCCATATCTACTGTATGTTCTCAAGGGAAGTCCATGTGAAGGCATCAACCTTTGCACTGAGATAGATTGGGAGGGTCTGAACAGCATGCTCACTTGATCCATGCAAAAAGTGCAATTATCAATGGCAAACTTCTCATTCATGAGTTCCAGGGGGTAATCTTATGTCTACTTGGACTGACAGGTGCATCTTGCTGACAAATTACAAAGTATATGGCCTCCTTGTGAAAGAGACTTGCAGATAAGACTACCAGTGCTCTTAATGCCCATGCTAGCAGCACTATAAAATGCAGGGGCAGACTGTAGAGCCACCAATGTTGAACCTAGATACAACTGCTGGGTCAGGGGGGCTGCAGTTAGATGAGAGTGAACTAATGTTCATCAAGGAGAAAGAAAAGATGCAGATTCTCAAAAATTGCCTCAAGCAATGTACCAAGTGTGGTGAGAAAGTGGATTGCAAAGTCAACAAGCATGCCATGCATGTGCCTCTGACTTTGGTGCAAATTCATGCATGGGCATGTGTGATAGTAAGTGGAACAAACACCCTGAGATAGGCCCATGATACACATGGAGTAACCCTAGATATTCCACCAGACACTGGCACAAGACAGCTTCTGTACCTACACCAGCCACTGGAGCTTGCATATAGACATGACCAATGCTACAGCCCCATTTGCAATCATGATGCATGCACCTCCAGTGGCTCAGGCCCCTACTGTAAGGTCGTTGTGTGACCTCACTATCAGTACAGACAGGACTAAGTTATCCTTGTTAATGCAGTACGATACATGAAATACAAGTGGTAGAAGCTTCTGTCTTTTAGCTACATCTAGGGGAGTGATTATATATCCTCACAGAACAATGGTGTGGTGACATGAGACATAAGGAACCAAAGGAATCTACATAACAAAAGGCAACAATTCAGAGTCTGAAGAATAAAGGAGTTCCATATTGTGGCCTGAGAACAATGGCGATCAGATAGACAATGGATTGAAGTGGTAGACAATGGAGTTGGATGTCCAGTGGAATTGGGAAGGTGATCAGATAGACAATGGAGTTGGGTGTCCAATGGAAATGGGTCTGTGTTGGTAAGCCAGCAGGATTACACCTACTGTGCTTAGCACAGCAACAGTGGCAGTCTGTTAAACATGAGTTTTGACATTGATTACCTAAAGATGGAGGTTTTTTTTTTCAGGAACTTATGGAACATCCTTGGTATCATGGCCTGGATGGCATAGCTGCTAACCTGTGGCAAAGGACTTCCTTTGCATTGATGAGACAGCAGGAATGCCAGAGAGTTAGTTTGAGGGACCACTGTGCAGCTTGAGTGAAGGAAATGCAAACTTTGCCTCCAAAGCTGTGAAGAAGGCAGTTAACCAAGCACAGTATTAGGACCGGAAAACCTGCTGGGACCTGGACCACACCTTATATTCACTCGACCCTCTATATGGTACCCAAGGTACAGTTACAACTGGAGTACCTGCTGGGACCTGCACATCACCCTATATGCACCAGTCATCAGACTCTGCTGGACCTGAATGTCAGCCTGTCTATATCTGACACTG